GTGGTAGCACTCTCTGCTGCCGGCATTACAATCGAGATCGTTCGCTCATAACCTTCATAGCGCCATACATAAAGCATTACATCGCATGTTGCTATTGATGTTCAAAACAGCAACTCGTGACTTGAAGCAAAACAGGCGGCTAATTTAGTAGGGCCTATAGCGAGCAACGCCACTGCTCCGCAGACGACACTCATGCTTCAATATCCGAAAGATCGTATTCGGTGATCCCTGACTTGACCTCGGCCTGACCTGATCCAGATCACCAAGGGGGAACGCTGGTCAAACGCTCCGACCCAAGGCTATATAGAGGAGAGTCCAGGCGCAAAGCAACATGGACATGTTCAACGGCACGGTGCACCCAGAAATAGGCCGACTATTCGAGCACCGAGAGTTGAATCACCATTCACCTGGCCTGGCCGATCTGCCCCGTGTCGGTGGGTGCAATGGTGGGACGATGATATTTATAAGGTAATGTCTCGGCACCGAACGTTTCATTTTCCAATCGATAAATACAGGGGCGTCGCCACGGATTTTTGAGTGGGGGGGTCGGGTTTCCGGTCTTCGTCTTGATGGGTAGGGGTGTTTTTAGCCACACTCCCGGTTTTTTCGTGTGCCCGGAGAAAAACCTCGGCGCGCAGCGCCGCGAAAGCAGCGGTATATCTTATTGCACATCAATTTTGCATCGTGCATAAAAATCAAGCAGAGATCACCTGAGGTCAGGTCACAATGTCATGTCAAGTTCAGTTTTAATGCCTCTTAAAACTGCAATCTTGTCATTCCTATAGATTATCTCCTGACTCCTATAAGTCTGAAATTTGGTGTAATGAATGGGATTATAAGTGCCAACAGTTCATGAATCTGGGATTTTACATCTGAGAAGCGAAGTCAGGTCAAATAGGTATGTGACCTCACCAATCATGATAAGATATGGGAAAAAGCACGATGCCCTCTGCTTTGAAAGAATATGCTAAAAACGCTAGATACTTTTGTAGCCATGGCACCTTGTTCATTTTAGAGATAAGGTGCAGCTAATGACCAGTGGTGACTGAAATGGTCAGTCATTAGGTCATCAAAGGTCTCTAACACATTTTCGACAACAACTTTTGATGGAGACGTTGTAGAGCGATGACAGCACCTGGAGTGTGTTCAGCTCAGTAACACAGATCGATCCATATGCAGCAGGTTCTTTCCGGTCAGGTCATGACCTTTACCTGATGTCAAGTTTTCTATTCAAGTTTTTAAGTTCAAATTGTGAGCCATTCGACGTGTTTCGACGAAACAAAAACGATGGTGATAACATGAATATCATACACATTCACTGAATCATGGGTTGTTACAGAACAAATGTTTCGGCAAAATCCGTCCGCTTAGCTGTTTGGACTCTATGGTACACAAGCCATAGACTCGAAGTCATATCTGAGGCGAAGTTGGCGAAAGAGCTTTAAAAAGCTATCGAATACGCTTTCTGTGTTGCTGTAGCTCTTATTCGTATTTTGCGGGTCGCTAAGGTAAAACGTTTACCAACGTAACGCATAAGGCATATGCTTTCGGCCCCTGATCGAGGTAGAGTTTCGCAGAAGAGCGAAAATGCTGCCCGTGATGAGTGAAAGCCGATGATGCCCAATTTCAAGGTCTTGGCCGGGTCATCTTAGGTCAACGCCCAAAAGTAGGGAAAATCTGGCCGCCTGCTAGAACTTAGTGAGCCGTAGCTGTTATCCGGGTCCCGAGTACGAGTTCGATGTTAGTCTTGAACAAAGATGATGACTCCATGCATTTTGGGTAGATCGGGTCGGGTCAGGTCAGGTCGACCAGCAGGCTTCCTGCCGGCCATCTAGAGTGGGTGACTGACAACCACCAACGATAGCTTCGTAGCATGTTACATAACCATCATTTATCAAAACTACTTCAAACGGTTCAAACGGGCGCTAAACTCGAAATCAGCCCCAAAAACCACACTTGAAAGTGGAAGCAAATAAAACTCAAAAAAGTTAACCAAGGTCATCCATATTCGAATCAGGGCCAATTTTTTTTTAGAATAGGTGTAAAATTCATTAACTCGAGGTCACTGGAAGTTTCGTTGCAATATACTCCTTTTTGCGCGTCTTATTAGGAAAGCCCCAGAGGGATCCACCATCTGACCCCATTTCCCCTATGCAGGCAGGTCCGAGGGTAGCAGGGCTGAGGCTAGCCAGGTACCTCGTAGTTTCTGATACGTCATCCGACGAATCGACTGCAACCATTATTTTGACAATCAGACGAACGCTTGGGTCAGTTTTGACGCGCTCGCTCATTTGAGGGATAAAAAGGGACTAAAATAATATTGTCATGCTGATGTTCTAGCCCACAGCTTATTGACCTATAAGCAATAGGGACTATAGGGAGCTCTTGAAGCGATTCTGAATCTGACGATGTATTTGTTGATGTTGCTGACGCCAACTTCCCTGACATGATAGCTAAAAAAAGCATACTCAGCATCGCCAAAAGTGGGGGGGTCGAACCCCCCGGTTTTGACGAGTGGGGGGGGGGGTCGCGACCCCCCCGACCCCCCGTCGGCGACGCCCCTGGATAAATAAGCTCAGTACAGTATGTAGGTACACTCGGGGGCAGATTGATGTTCTACAACTCTTTATCCACCGGGTTCCTATGCCTCAGCATTGGCAGCAGCCGCCTGGTACCGGTAGACTGTGCCGCTTCACTTACTTGTCAAGCGGCACAGGCTACCCACACCGTATGCCACCGGTCTGGGTCGGTGGCTGGAAGGCGATGTGGGCCGCCTGTGACGTCAGCGCAGCGGTGAGGGCCGAGCCCGGCCCGGAGGCATGGCTCGGGTCGGCGCGGCGCGGCGGCTGGCGAGGGCTGGCCCCAGCGCTGGGGAGTGAGGTGGGGTGGGAGCACGGACTTCGCGCGGCTGAGCGAGTGTAGTTAACTTTTGCGTCTCAAGGCGCCAATTATTCTACATAACAATTGTGCTAAAGCAGTTGTTAAAATGTCCTATCCCCAAGACAGCGCCTATCATCATACTTACCATGCACATTACGACACACTTAAGCGCGGCAATGGGACAGCCGATAGAACTTATGCCACTCGTGCCTCGAGGTGCGGAGCTATATTTTGTATAACATATTAGTATTAAGGCCTTGATTGAGCAGATTGTGTTTATTGTTTCGCACGGCAATCATCCAGAGACGTGGGAACTGGGGGCTATGAGTAGTGCCGCAGCCAACGCCCCAATTTAAAGCGATTATTTCTGTTGCTCTAAAGTCTAATATGTGGTCGCAGGCCGCAGCCCCCAATAGCAAACCGTTCCAACTAGGTGCCAAACAGTCGGCCACTCAGGGGGCTTCGAACCGGGCTTCTCCCACCGGCCAATTCACGACACGAGCGTTCATCCACTGAACTACCAAGAATGGTCCTCGTCTGCACAAAACAAAATGACATTCACCCGCTGATCGCCAATTACAGTATTGTGACATTTGATCGCGTTTGACCGCGGCGGGTGGTCGCTGGTTTCGGCAGCTCAGTGGATACACGCTTGCGTCGTAGGGTGACCGGTTGGAGAAACCCGGTTCGAACCGTCCCAGGTGCGCCGACTTATTTGTTCCTAGTTGGAACGGTTTGCTTTTGGTGGCTGCGACCACACATTAGAGGAACAGTAAGAGTTGCTTAAAGTTGGGACGCCGCGCTATCAAAAAACCCCAGTTCCCACGTCTCTGGACGATTGCTGTGCGAAATAATAGACACCAATGAGCTCAATCAAGGCCTTAATACTTCTGTTATAAACAATGTATAGCTCCGCAACTCGATGCACGTGTGATATAAATTCTATCGGCTGTCCCAATGCCACGTTTAAGCGTGTCGTAATGTGCATGGCAAGTATGATGATAGGCGCTGTCTTGGGGATAGGACATTTTAACAACTGCTTTAGCACAATTGTTATGTAGAATAATTGGCGCCTTGAGACACGAAAGTTAACTACACTCGCTCAGCCGCGCGATGTCCGTGCTCCCACCCCACCTCACTCCCCAGCGCTGGGGCCAGCCCTCGCCAGCCGCTGCGACACGCCGACCCGAGCCATGCCTCCGGGCTCGGCCCTCGCCGCTGCGCTGACGTCACAGGCGGCCCACATCGCCTTCCAGCCACCGACCCAGACCGGTGGCATACGGTGTGGGTAGGCTGTGCCGCTTGACAAGTAAGTGAAGCGGCACAGTCTACCGGTACCAGGCGGCTGCTGCCAATGCTGAGGCATAGGAACCCGGTGGATAAAGAGTTGTAGAACATCAATCTGCCCCCGAGTGTACCTACATCCCAATGCAGGTGATGACTAATGACCACTAGAAGCGGATCTAGCCGGGCTGAGAGCATACCTATTTTAAATTAGGATAAACGGTCATGGACGTAGGATCCCATTCCCTCCACTGGCTCCACTCGTCTCCAGCCCCCACCCGGCACCCCTAACCGGGCCCTAAGCGACGGTGAGTGGTGACCATGGTTGTTACTTGTGTAGTGGCCAATAGGTATCTGCGATGGCCGATGGCTGCAAGTTGGGGATGGACGTGAATGTGGCGGCACTGACCTGCACTGATCCAGTTGCCTTCATTTGTTCGGTAGGGCTTATTCTCCTCCTCCTACGAAACTCCAAAACACACAGCCCGCAGCAGCAAGGCGCAACCTGGGTCCTGGTGCAACCGAGCCCCGAAGCAAATGGCCCGACCCTTTCCAGATGTCAACCGGAAGTCAGAGACTTGAATCGGAAGCAGGCGGTGATCAAGACAGAAGCGTTGGCAAAGTGTTTTTATGGCGATATACACAAATGCTGGTTGATTTTTTGTAACATTTTATTTTGTTAGCATGATAAAAAATTGACGGCTTTCAATAGATCAAATGGGGTAGGAATACCGGTTAGTTCCTAAATTAGACAACAGATGGCAGGACCATACAGACCGGGAGTTTATCAGCTGATGGTGCTCTAAATCTCAAGACGGTTATGCCGCATTTGCGACAATTCTGGTGTTTACATTCCGCCAGTCTGCTTTTGCAATGCAATTAGATAAGTTTGCAGTTTTGCACGCTTTGCAAGCTCATATGCTATTTTAGCAGGTTGGCATTTGTGCTCATAATTTTGCTGATTATCTGCTTTATAAAGAGGGCAAGATCCCAGCTTGATTCCTTGAAACCCAGGCGCATTTAAGTTAAAGAATATGACCTTCCTAATCCCACAGTGTATATAAATACCTAATCCTATATTACGCAAAAGGTGAGGTGTAATGAGTTGAGCTTTGTCAAGTTATTTTGCCTTTTTTACATTTGTGCGTCTTTATATTTTGGTGACATGTAAGGATCATATCTTGATTAAGGATGTCAACTAATGGAAGAAAATGTAAAATTTACCTTTCATAATTGAGTCAATCCTGAGACCTGAAGTGAATATTTACCAAGCAGTGTGGGACGGACGCCGGTGAAAACAGGGCGCCGGAGGGCATATTAGTCACGTGACATTTGGAACTTCTCCCCCTTTGTCGGCCTTCTACATGCTAAACGTCACATGTGAATTTCACGAACCTTGATCAAATTGCCCCAGGCGCCCTGTTTTCACCGTCGTCCTGTGGGACGGGTCCTAGCAGGCACTGTGCTTAACTTGAACTGCCATGCTGGCGTACTTTTGTCCAAGAAATTGATGCATAAGAGACACAACAGGGCTAGCCAGGGAATAATTAGATTACAAGTTTGAGGTCTTGTTTGGTGAATACTGAGGGGTGGTACGGGTTTCCCGTCTCAGTCTAGTTGGTGTGGGCTGGTGCAGACTGCAGATCTTCCACCCTAGCTAGTGTGCCTTGTAAACTGCTGCCACACCTTGTGGTATGGTGCTCAGTGGCAAGACATTGTTTGAACTGAAGGCTTATCACATTGTAATAAGTACTTTCCAATACCTAATTGGTGTTGTCAAATGGTGTTTAATTGGCAAAATAATGCTAATCAATGAGAGGGTCTACTAATGTAACCCAAGCATATGGATGACTCCAGATTATTTAATGAAGTGATGTTTTTATAAGTTTGTTTGCATAACTTTTGTTTCACTTATGTCTAAAATTGATGTATGAATCCTCAGATTTTCAGAGCTTAGCTGGTTGATTTCAGTACCTAACTTTGAATTGATATTTTTCTGATAGGTGATTTCTAAGTGTAATCATTTTTTCAACCATGTGCCAATATTAACTATATTGTCTGGATCAATTCCAGATCTTCATCACTATTGACTTGACCTACCAGTTACCACCTTCACCTTTTCTGCTGCAAAGTATTCCTTGATAAATACTAAATAGGTCAACATAGTACAGATTACTGATGTCTTTAGCTCACTAATGTCCAAGTAAGGGGGACATGTGGTTGTTGCAATATATGATATGGCATTAAGACTTGCAGTGCTATGGTCCTGATTAACACTAAACATGTTTACAATTTTGTAAACCACACTTACTCACTCTAGCATTATAGGTACTCATTTGACTTGAACTATTCCTTAAAACTCTGCTTATACCTTTCTGTTAAAATGCTTACTCTCCACAGGACAAATCACTACACCATCTGAATATAAATGAGTATCCTAATTTAGCCTGACATTTGTTCAGTTTCAGGATGGCCTCTGGAGAAAGAGTCTACTTGAGAAGTACTCTCAGCAGAGCTCTTTATGATAGAATCAAAAGGGATGAGGAGCTGAAGACATTTGATAAAAGCCAGGTGAGTTTAGTTCTTCGAAGAGCTTCAAATAGCTCACTACACAGGTTGTATTAGTAGTCGCAGTGTCCAATAAATAATGCTACTTTGGATAATTGGATTAGTTGTTGTGTCAACACTGAGCAAACTGTCAATGCTACTTTGGGTAGGTCTTATCATTTAACACTGCCACAGTTTACAGCTGTGGCAGCACACTGGCTTGTGATGTGTCTTTTGTCAAATGGCTGACTGTCCTTAACTGTGCACTTTGGACAGTGAAAACAACAATAACTGTAATCCAACCGTCTGCGACCCTTCACTACTTTCAGAGGTAGCCTGTAAATGAGCACGACGAGCAGCAGCACTGCACACACAGCCACTGCACAGTAACCTTTAACACCATCGGACTCCTCCTTATCTTTCAGTGGTACCGAGTAGACATGACTCAGGTGAACCCAGAGCACTCTGCACTGTTCCTGCCGCTGTCGGCTGACTCCCAAACGGAGGAGTTTCTGGCGCAATGTCACGAGAAGTCCGACTGGCTCTTCACACAGCTGTGGCACACGCTGGTCAAGTCCATCCTCACGCTCTTTATGACCCAAACTTCAGTGAACGGGTGAGTACCGATTGGTGGGGTGAGTCTTGGTTCACTTACGCCGGCTTTGAATTATTTTATATATTTGTGGTCTCTGCCAAATTGGTCAGTGGTCAGTGGTCACGGATGTAAGATGTTATGATGGTCACGGAATGTTCCAGCTGACCTCTTTGGGACACGATGGGGGTTTTTGTTTCTGGGCATGTTGGATGAGTTTTGCGAGCATTGCAGCACGCTCGCTTTTCAAAGTCGACTCTGGGTCGGATCATTGCATGAACGATAACCCTGACCTGAAATGAGAGGACTGTAGGCTAGAACCGAACAGCACTGACAAACACTACAGTGAAATCCGATTCCGAAAGCAGTAGCACTATGGAGATCAGGAAGCTCTGCCCATTTTGAAGTAATTGTGTTAATTTTTACTCAGTTGCTCTTACTAGCTAAAGTGCATATTTGCCGGTGTTTTATTTTACGTAAGAACTTCGTTGTTAGGTATTGGTCTTGGCTGTGATCAGTTTCAGTCTCATCTTTGCCGTCACCGACTATCTGTGACTGTACACCGTCACCTAACGAGTTTTGTTGAGGAGGGTTCAATGCGGCCCCTGTTCCACGCCGAGTGGCCCCCGGCCACAGTGGAATCGCGCATTGATTCTACTGTGCGCAGAACAAACATATTAGCACCCCCCAGTCACGAAACCAGCCGACCGTAATGAATTTAGAATGTCCCCGGCCGCACCGCGGTGCCTATTAGAAACGCGACGCCAATAGCTTCCGAGCCCAATAGGAGTCCAACGGTGTCGTTGCGCGAGTGAAATAGCGTTTGCAGGGTTAATGAAGGAAGATAGACGGTCTGAAGGGGAGGATTTGTGATTGGTATGATGGAAACAGAAGTGAAGTACAGGGTGATTCATAGCCATGTGACCTATTTAGTTGATCTCTCTTGAGAAGAGGATTGCATATTTTCGTGTGAAATTTCACGTGCTAGTAGAAAATTTTATGAAGTTTTGTTCTATCTTGGTCTGGTCTGTGTGTATCGCTCAAGATGTACACAGCGCAGCAAAAAGTAAAAATGTGTAATTTGTATAGGTTAACGCAGTCCATCAAGCAAACACAAAGATGTTTCTGCACGTCTGAGGGCTTGCACCCAAGGGAAACTCCAAAGAAGATAACAAAGTCATAGAATCGTTAATCAATTCAAAGCAGAGGGCACGGTTCAATGTTAAACACGGCACAAAAAAAAATGGTAAGCGAACCCCGGAAAGTTGATTACAAAGAGCGCTGAGGTCAGGTGGGCGCCACGCTCGCCGGAGCTCAGCGTCGTGGAATTCTTCCTCTGGGGCTATGCAAAGTCCGAGGTCTATGAGGAGAGTCCCCAGGATATTCTCGGGCTGAAGGATGCCATTGGAAGCTGCTTTGGTTCTATTTCCTTAGAAATGTTGTGCGTCCGCGCCATCGCCAACTTTAGGCTCTGGCGCTGGAGTGCATCAGTCGCCGAGGTGGCCATTTTGAACATCTTGTTTAAAAGAAGCTTGTGAGAGTCGAACGAAAAGTATTTGTGACTGATGCTATACATGGATCAAAACTTCAGATTTGGCTGTTTGATATGGTACTTGGCAATGGCATGTAACACGAATGCATTTCCTGTAGTTTTCATTTATTTTCGGTCACACGGCTATGAATCACCCTGTACTAGGCTCCTTTGGCTTGGAGTGAGCATTAACCGCCACAGTCAGTGCACTCTATTTCATTGTTAGTCTTTTCGGGTGCCCAAGTCTCCATTAAGCCAGCTTCCCCTCATGCAGCGTCGCGTCTCGTTCTTTCTTCTTCCGTGAAGTGGATCACGAGGAGCGACAACATCCTAGTCTGGAACTAACGAAAGACAGTCGAATGCCGTGAATTACTCGTTGCACGGCTGGTTTTGTGCGCCCGGGGCGGCCGCTGTGACGGCCGTCGGTTCTGCTGACTCCTGCCCCCCTCCCCTCCCCCCCACCCCCTCCCCCTCACCCATCGGCAGCGCTTCTGGACGCCTCCAGGCGCGCGCCGAGCAGACACCCAGATTTGCGCCGGAATCAGTCGAGAGAGCGCTCTCAATAGATTTTTTAGCCGGGAGCGGGCGCGCTGAATAATCAATACGCTTGAGGCGGCGCTGCCGCCGGCGGAGACGCCCGATGGAGAGCAAGAGGTGCGGCTGAGGTGGCGAGTGAGCCCGCGGCGGCACGAGCGGGGCCCGTCTGGGAGACGGACGGTCGGCCGGAGTCGGCGGGCCGCAGCCCGGGTGCTAACTATACCCCAATCACGGGCGGTTCGCCGACAAGTCCAGGGTTGATTGATGACAACAAGTTTTAGTTGAAGCAGGATTACTGGGACATTACTAGCAAGATTACTAGCGTTTTGACGTCATGCTTCTGCGATTGTGTCGTTTCTTTGGCGTAGTATTGCGAGACAGCAGTAGGTATCTATAATATCTTAATATGCAGCATATTTTTGTACCTATTGCTTTGGTCCCGCAACACCATAGCAACGGTAGCACATATGATTGTAGTTAGATGGCTTCTGTCGTCCACAATACCATATTGGAAGTTGCCTTCCCGATATAACTTACCTCGTGACTCTTCAGCCAATGTTTTGCCTTTTGCCCAATATTCGGTTGGGCAAAAGGCAAAACATAACCAAAACATAATATATCGTACGACGTACATCTACTATGCACGATACTTTGTGGAAGTGGAAGGGAATATAATTCATCTCCAAATGACGATGGACTATGGAGGGGGACTATCAATGAACGGTGCGATAATAACGGAGTAATCCTCCGTCTGAATGTGTCCGCTTTGCACACCGTTTTTCCTTGTTTTTGTGTATTTGCCAGTACCTCATTGTTCCGCCTCCCGTCACGAGTATCTCCCATGCCCGTCTCCCGCACTTCCGTTGCCCCATCTCCTGTTTCTCCGTCTCCCCGTCCGCACCTCCCATGCTCGTCTGCCGTGCCAGTCTGCTTCTCTGTTTTCCCGTCTGTATAAACCTACCTCCCATGCTCTTCTCCAGTACCAGTCCGCTCCTCCATTTGATAATTAGCGTCGGCTCGCCCAAACGGCCCAGCCCGTGATTCATCGCCCGGCCGAGAATTATCATCCCCGACGTCGGTGGGAACCGATCGCAAATGAACAAATTATACATGCGGCCATTTTTGCTTAATACGGCGTAAGAGGCACCCGCGGCGCGCGGCGGCCGCGTGCCGTCGACCGATACGTCTTGGCCGCCCCCCGCCGGCCGGGACGAGCCGGCGAGGGGCGCGCGAGCACCGGACTCGGACGGTCAGCTCGTGGCCGGACTGGGTGCGGGTGGTCGAGCCGAGGGTGGGGTGAGATTGTGTGTTTGTTTTGGTGAATAGTGAGGATGAGATCTGAGGAAGGGCTATGAGCGCTGGTGTTGGTGGGGTTTGTGACATTTCATAAGAGTGAACGCTTAATGGAATTGACTGCGGGATATATTGTTACTTGTCCAACATTTACCTTCCGAGAATCGTTTCCATGTGTTCTGGATTAGCTGTTTTAACCCTGTATCGTGTGTCATCTGACACTGTCTTTTTTCTAACTATTTGGAATTAAAATGCGGTTTCTTATTTGGACGAGATTAAAGTACGCCACACACGGAAGCTCGTTTCCACGTCACAGACGTAACATTCCAGTGGGATGTTCACACCATTGCGCTGAGCACAACACGCATTTTTATGCAGATCAACATGTATGAGGCGGGTTGTGAATATGCATTTCTCAGCGAACCAGCATGGAGCGGAGAACAGGATCCATCGTTCATCAGCGGCTAAAGCACCGGAAAATTTCTCTGGCGTCCGGGCAGCGTCAACAACTAGCCCAGCACTCGGGTTATGCGGGATACTCAGGAAGGGAGCTGCCGAAAGAACGCGATATATGCCCTCAATAGTAACGAAAGTGTTCATGTAAAAATACATCCACGTCCCTAATTTTAACTAATTTCCCACGTTTTTTTATGTAGGTAGTATTTGGCCTCGGGCACTCGGTCGTATCCCGACATGCTTGACATGACATATTTTGCCCGCTATACTGCGATGAGCTGTCAATAACGATCGGCATTTTACCGGATCAGCATCTACCACTATTTTAGTAGCATCTTTTTTCCTCTCTCTCCCTTCCTTACCCCTCTCTCCCGTTGACTTTCTGATCACGTTCTGCTGGCGCTCCCCGGCCAACTCAAGCTCCTTTGGTTCCTAGACGCCTTTCATATTCACTCCTTAGCAAACATTTCTATATTTTTTCTCCAATTTTCCGCAGCTCCCAATTTAATTTCTGCGGCGTCGGGGCCTGATGGAATGGCAGAGGCGCGCTCAAAAGGGCAGGTTGGGTGGGTAACGAAGCTTTCTTCACATACGTCTTCGTAAAACTGTCCGTTCTGTCTTTTTCTCATTCATGGGTGACATGGTCGTCCCGATTCAGAGCAGATATCTGCCTCCCGACACTTTGTCCTGGGACCGCCACTGCTCGGCCCGCTTGGTATCGACCGATGCCGTCGCGGCGTGTGTTCAACCCTTTCTTTCTGCGTCTGTTTAGCATTCCTAACTGTATAACGATTCGCGCGCGCCAGCCAGAGCCGACGGCGGCCCATCGGAGCCGACAGCCGCCATTAGGTCCGAGAGAGGGGGCGACAACCGACGGAGGGGGGGGGGGGGACGGGCCGAGAGCGGCGCTGCTGCGAATAACCGCGCTGAAGGCGTTTGTGGAGTTTGGGGGATTTGTGTTTGTGTTGGCCCCATATATAGGTGAACCAGTTGATTATACATGCACTATACAGCAATGAATGTTTTCATGAGCTAATTGCACGGTGATTGCGGGATTCATCAAAGCTTAGTTACATTACTTTCCCAAATTGATACGCAATGCAGTATAATTTGGAGGGAGAACTTTGGGAAGATCTGTGGCTTTCGGCAAGTTTGCTATTACAAACTCGGAGGGATGTTTGCTTTTTCTGATTAGCCTTCCTGTTGATTTTCAAATCAACCAGCCGCTTCCACTGGTTTGGCTTGTGCGCTGCTTAATTCAAACTTTGAAACTTCTGATGAAAATTTCCGCGAAACTCGTTCGGCTCATATTGGATCGTAAACACGAACTACCGCCTGTGTTGGCTTCCACTTGACAAATCACAATTTCCCGCGATGTCGGACGGCTAGTTTTGATGACACGGTGAATGACTGGGCGCGTCTGTCTCGTGCAGTGGCGTGTCTCCGCTGTACGGAGGACGAGGACGGCAGATACAGGCGCTCCGGCACCTCTCAGTGGGAGGATTGCGGCGCGAGCTGATGTTGAGAACGTTGCAAAAGTTGCGGGAGCCTTTGTCCTATTCCTGATGAAGCATCGAACTGCGAAAGAATGTGCCGACAACGTTTTTAAATATTATTCATTGTTGCTTTGAAAATACGATATCGACGTCCAATATGTCGGCAAACACGTTCGGTTCCAAGATATCAAAACAACAAACTATCCTTCTTAAAAGCTGAAACTCTGCTTGAGGCTCATAATGAATAATAATAATATAAGAATAACCAGTCCTCATAATATAAATCAGAAAAAGGGGCCAAAAAGTTTTATTTAAAATTATCCAATATTTCGCTTTTGGAGCTTTGTCAGCGATAATTACAGAAAAAAATAACCTCATAATTTATATTATGAGGTTACTGGTTATTCTTATATTAACAAACTATTCTCCCGATACACATTCATACTGAAAAGTACTCTTCCGACCATCTTCCGACCAATTGCAACCTCGTAATAAATATTATCAAGCTTCCCAGCTATGAGGATACTCTGCTTACTGCTGATATTTGAGATGCGTCCCAACTGGCCACCCTGCTCCCTCATTTGTAGCCGGCACGTGCCTGGAGGGCCTCGGCTGACCACGAGCTCAGCTGGACAGGCTGTTCGGGAGTATTGTTTTAATTCGTCCCACAGAACAGCCCCCGGCTCGGCTCACTTGGAGCACGGAGTTATAGCCGTGGGAGGACTTCGTTGGATGGCTTATACAAACGGATATGATGTTATTGCAAGCGTGTTTAAGACATTTTGAACTAATCTGCATGAGTTGCAGTGCATTATATGCCACGTGAACTTGAACAATGAAGTTGCAGAGCTTTGGATGTGGTCATTAGGTACCTATCATGGTCATGATTAACTATAATTCTGACAAAGAGAAGCATGATGCTCAAGTGGACTGTGCGTTTTATAAGGCGCAGAAGCTTCCAGGCGGTCCGCGGAACACCTACACCCCAGTGATGCCCGTCCTTTGTGTCGGTCGGGGTCTACCGTAGAACACAGCGGTTCGTCAATAGGTACTCCCGTCTTACCGCGGCCCGGGGGCAAAGTGGATAAGACAAATTATCTCGGCGTCAACACGATCAACACCTTGTTTGTTGTAGCTATTATAAATCTTAAAAAACTGCTTCGTTTGTAATGACAGGAATTCAAGTTACGGATTCGTCCAGCGCCAATACACTGTCGAATATCCAATGTCGTCTGCCTAAAAAGAATGCAGTTTTCGAGCATCTGCGTCCACGTCCATTGTTGCTCACACCCAGGTCCGACGGTTCCTTCCAAGTGATGGAATAGACGTCACGATGTCACCTGGTTTGTTTCGGATTACCCACCACCACCCCTTTGTGTCTGGCTCGGGTGCCGGGCTGGGACCTCCTCCGTCCGCCCCCTCGAGCCGACCGCTGACTGGTGAGACACGTTCTCACCGGTCGAACCGCCGACCGGCGCGACCACCGCCAGCGGATATCGCATTCATTACCACCCAACTCCTCCAGATAAATGGCCCAATCTATATTGAAAGCGCGGACGGGCTGACATTAAATCTGTATAAAATTCCCCTTAGCGGCGGTGTCCCGCTGCTCGGACCGCCGTCTAGCACTGGCTAATTGCCGCCGGTGAAATGGGTGCTGATAGCGGCGAGCTGGGTTCGAGCGGCGGGTGGGGCCCGCTCCCCCGGACGGAGCAGCGCCCGGCGATTTATGGAGGAGATGCCGCCACGGCCGCCACGGCCAATACCTAACTAATTGACCTCCTTGTCGATGAATGACGGGGCGAGGCGGGCTCTTCCCATGTCCCGAGCTATGTTCGCGGTGGGACCGCCGCACTGTAGGCCGGCAGCCTGAAAAAGCGCTAGAAATTCCCCCAAACTGACTGTCCGCAATATGAACAAAATAGGTATTATTTGATCCCAAATTGATCAAAGAATACGATTCCGATGCTAGTTTTGCCGTAAGGTCAAAATTGAGGTCGTCAGTTGTCACCAAACACAAGACAATTTAGAGTTTAGACTCTCTATAGGCCACCACATTTACCGATTTTAATGATGAACTTTAGTGGTAATTTATTAGTTGACCAATCGTCGTTTTGAACGAAATTTCCTGTCAGACTAGTTCAGGGCACTGTTGTTCACTGTGCCAACATCATTCTGGCATATTGCATCGCTTTTCTGCAAGATAAGCTAGCTGTTTGCAAGCAGCTGCAAGACGTAATTTAAAATCATATCCAATTTTTTAATTAGACTTTTATAAAAACGTTATTTCGAGCGGCTAAAAATGAACATTTTATACTAGCCTCTGATTACTCATCTTTTGTTCCATATAGGTGCTTTGCTGCTTTTCCCTGCTACTTTTCGAGATATGCGCCAGTAAACCACATGATGTAGGGGCAATTGTCACCTCGCCGCTCTACTGAAGGCCCGGCGCTCTTTAAAACGCTGGAAGTTGTGAAAAACAAACGCTTATAATCTAAATAAAATATATGTCCCTGAGCTCAGAATTGATCAACGCACACAATGCTGTCAACATTTCTGGGCCAAACTCAAAAATTCAGTCATTATTAACCCCTAAACACAAGTCAGTGATAATCAACAACAACTTGCTCTTTAGTTAGACTTTTTGAGAAATGTTATTTCGAGCCGCTAAAAATGGCCATGCCATACAAACCACCAATCATCTTTCTGTCATGCCCTACTCGCAATTTTTGCTAATGCCTGCTACTCTTCGAGGTCACGTGACCTCACCATTAAAAGTGAATGGGGAAATAAGGAAACTGTTGTTTTTGCGCATGGAATGATTTCAAACTATCTCAAGCACACGGAATCGTGATTTCGTGCACTCCTTGCAAGATCCGTTGCTTTACTTTTGCATTTTTTACCTTCCGTGACGTCATTTATGACGTCACACCGGTCATAGGAGTTTCTCGTCAATAACTCATGATCAAATTGAGCCAGCGACTCGGGAAAGCCACCAATGGACTCGGGAAGACCTCCCGAATCGAATGATATGCTCCTTCGATTAAGTTCGTGGCCTGATGGGCTCTGAACTGACCTTGACTCGAGGTCAATACCTTAAGTTGACCTCACCCGAACAAAAAGTATACCATTCGACGCGCCTGAGCCAGGCGAACACGATAGTGCCAAAATCGCTGCTCTACGGCCATTTTTTGCGAAATTGTTTGCCAAAAACCAAACCCTACCTTGGGCTTTTTGACTTCACCTCAGAGGTTACCGGTTGACCTGGGACCTTAAAATCGGGTATCAATCGTTTCGCCTTGAAACGGCGCACACGCTTGTTTTTTCCGCGAGGCTCTAGCTCCATTAGGGGCGAAACGGCAAAAAGGGGTCGTACCAACCCTCCCCCCTCGGCCGGCCGAGGGGGTAGGGGGTCCGACAATAGGTCCGGCGAGGGTTAAGCAGCCCCACTTCGTTTTTAGCATGTTTGCTTGTCACTGAGATCAACAACTCAATCACAAATAATTTCTAGCACTTTTCCGGACCCCCGGCCCAGTGTGCGCCGTATCGGGTGTCGTGGAATTTGCTAGGGCTGCCAGGTGAACGTATAAACTTCACCAGCGTTAGATCCGGCGTGTTTTTTTTTTGTGAGAGGGGAGCAACTGTAGAAGCGTTTGCTTCTTTCCATTCATGAACATTTACAATTGCACCTTTCGGGGGACGATTCCGGGCTCCTCTTGATCGTCCAGTGGCTGAAAGTGAGCAATTTGTGTTGGACGGTACCGAGGTGCGTTAGTGAGCGCGCTGCTATCTTTTGCTCAGTGACAATCCTTATTCCGTTATGTGCTAAATCCTGACCTTTCAGTTCCGTTTGCCAGCTCACGGCGGCTTCAGGTATTCTTACCTTCCGGTCTCGTACTTTCTCCGACATCCGATTTGCTGACACGTTGTTTGCAGTGTCGGTGTCTTCATCTTCCCTCTAACCTCCACCCCCCCCCCCCATCTTCTGTGCCAATGTACTGCACTGTGAGTTGTGACACTGCAAGCAATGTGTTCTTATCTATGCTCAAACCTCCCCCCCCCCCAGCCTGCTGCGGCGCGGCTCCATGTTCAATTCCATTCTAACCTCCCCCTCCCCCCCAAGCCTGCTGCGGCGTGCTCCATGTTCATATGTTGTGTGTTCCATTCTATTCTTACCTCCCCCAGCCTGCTGCGGCGCGGCTCCATGTTCGTATTCTCCCGGGAGCAGTTTGTGCGCCTGCTGGGTGTCTCCAGCTCGTGGCGCGCCGACCGACTGCTGGACCTGGGCGCTGGAGACGGCCGGGTCACAGAGGTCATGGCCGGTCACTTTGGCCGGGTCAGCGCCACTGAGGTGTCCGGCACCATGCAGAGCATACTCAGAGACAAAGGATACAGGTGGGAACGGGGAAATGGCAGATGAGCTGTGGTGGTAGGCGCCGGGGATAAAGCGGGAGTAAAGGTGGTACGCGCCCGGGGATATAGTGGAAGTAAAGGTGGTAGGCGCTCGGGGTCATAGTGGGAGTAAATATGCATCGTGAGTGTGACCGAACATTCTGTGAAAGCGTCAGGGGAGGAAGCATGATTAGTGGGCTCTTTCATGGCGTGCGCACGCCTGTTACAATGATAAGCTAGCGTCCCTCTCCGCGCCCTGATCACCCCGTGCCTCCCGCTGGCAGTGTGCTGGACGTGGCCACGTGGCACGAGTCGGAGACGCTCTACGACGTCGTCACGTGTCTGAACGTGCTGGACCGGTGTGACCGTCCGCTGACGCTGCTGCGGCAAATGCGGCGCGTGCTCCGACCGGACGGCCTGCTGGTGGTGGCCCTCGTGCTGCCACTGTCACCCTACGTCGAACACGGTGGGTTAGAGGGGACGGGCAGCTCCATAGGGATGAGGGAGTTATGGGAGAGGGATAGATGACTGACAGTTCAAAGTGAAAGGCCTTGTGCTCAAGGAATGGCGAGTGGTCGTAAGGTGCCGTGTATTGGATGAGGTGGTGTGCCGTGACGTTGCATTGATCTAGCGTCGGCATGCAAATTTGATGTATTTTCTTTAGAAAAGCGCGATTGGCCTTAGCATCGTGTGAATTTTATTAAACCTGTTACTGCCTAGCCAAGAAATATTGACCTAAAATAGATCCTGGTAGCGATGGATAGGATGCAAGGATTGGATGGATGGATGCATTTTCCCACCACGATTGACGTTTCGCGTCGCTCGCCCTGCCCCCTGTAGGCGAGAACCGGAACCACCGTCCGGTGGAGGAGATGTCGCCAGGTGGCAGCACCTTCTCCGGTCAGATCTCGGGCGTCATAGACACCGTGTTCCGACCGGCGGGACTGGAGGTGAGCGCTGGACGAGGGTTGTTCGACCACGGGCGTAGAACGTGGGATGGGGTATGTGGGATTTGTGCTTGTTCTAGTCTGGGGCTATCGAAGTGTTTTGATTGCCACAATTATTACTTCGCACCAGAAGCTAGGCGGCCAGTCAACCGCGGCTGGATGCAGAGCGTGCTTTTATTTTAATTCTAGCATTTCATGGATGATTCACCTTAAAACCTTTTATTGAAATATCAGAAATCCAGGTTTCACCTTTTCATAACCACTCAGCAGCTATTTTGATGCATTTCTCTGACAATCTCTGAGAGTCTGGTTGTGAATCTCTTCACTGTCCCGCCTGTTTTCTCTCGTGCCCGCCAGGTGGTGCGGTGGTCGCGGCTGCCGTACCTCTGCGAGGGGGACCTGGAGCAGGCCTTCTACTGGCTCAGTGACGCCGTGTTCGTGCTGAGGCCAGTCTCCGACGGCGCAGAGGAGGCTCCGACCGGCTCGTGTCCGGAGGAGGGGGGTTCTGAGGGGGGCTGCAGCTAGCCAAGGACTGGACGAGAATGAGACTGAGAGGATTCCGTGGGTTGGGGAGTGTGAATAATGTTATGGTCGCACCAGTGAGCGTTGGTGACTAGTGTTGAAGAGCGTGGTCTGTGATTGTTTTGAGGCACATTGTTCAACATGAAAGAGGGGATAGGGACCAATTATGTAAAGCTAAGCGATGGCAAGCTCTGTTGGGAAGGTAAGCGCACTGTGGGTTTAGCGACTGGCCGGTGTTTAACATCGGTAAAAGGCATATCGCCATCGCATTTCCGTCGTTAACGCGCGGCCGATCAGTACAGCTTTTTGATGAAAAGTATTATGTTTTGTGTTGACATTTGATAGGGCATTTCACTTTGGTGTGTAACAGCTGTTTGTCGAATATCCGTAACATAAGTGTCCTGTGATGCTTGTACCAGCAAATGAAATATATATGGGCAACTCGCGTCTCGCGACCTTGTCTTCAAATATATATTGATTGAAAATGTCTGGATGGAACATGTGCAAGAAGCTAGCAAACCGAATATTCATATATCACGGTATTAGCGTGTAATGAACATTGAACTTGAAGTATATAGGAGGCCATATATACCTACAATAAGTACTGAGCTGATTAATCGGTTTGCAGGAAAGTGCTCTCGATCTTTTCCTTTTTTAAGACTAGCGGACGTGAGAATGAGAGGAAAAAGAAAAATTAAAGGGACACTCCCACCTTAACATTAGTTTTGAGTTGAGATAGCCAAATTGGTGGCCATGGCCTGCAAATACCGGTTTGGGCACTCACAACATCGACAAATGCTTTAATTCGGAGATATGGAATTTCAAACTTGCAGTTTTCGGATTCTAAGGGGCTAGTGCATTGGTATGCCCCCTTAGAATTTGTGACGTCAGCGGAGATCTAACGATTTTTAAATCTTTTACTAAAACGTTTGGTAGCACGCGGTGGTATATGCTGCTTTGCGCGCAACAAATGCCACACTTTCAAATAAAGTCGCTAGGAACAGCGGAGATCCCAAAAAGTAAACAAAAGTAAAAGTCTAATATCTTGAAAACAGGTGAATATTTTTCGATGAAATTTTATAGATATTCGTTTTCGCTCTTTCTGAACCGAGCGACATCACTTTCATGCCAATTCATTAACTTTTTTGAAGGTGGGAGGGTCCCTTTAAGGCATCGTTTCTGTGCATTTATCAATTTGGTAAGCCACACACCAGCCAAAAATAGGCCCCAAAGCCCGAGGAATACGCCCAATGTTTGACATAGGTTCACGTAAATAATTCAGTAGCCGCATCCTCCGTCGATTACGCCTCAAAAGCTCCAGTAAATATGTGTTCAGAAATGCATAGCATCATAAAAAGTTGCTGCTAGCAAAGTTCAGTGTCGGTAAAGGTCGCGTTTCATTGGTCAACAGCGGTAGTTGCTAATGCAAAACACGCCGCTGAGAACGGATATGTTTATGTTTGCCGAATCAGCTGCAAAAAAGGGCACAGCGCACGGGAGGCACACAATACCGAGGCTATTATTATACATTTTGGAGAAATTCGGTGACAATTTTCGAGGGTTGGTGGTTGGAATTTGGTTGGAATGAAATATTGAGTCAAGTTTTTTTGGAGGTTCTTCCGCTGTCTGTTTATCAGGTAGGTACTGTAACTTTTTTCTAGATAAATTCTTTGCTCCTTTTTAAATGTTAAAGAAAATCCATGTTATCTATGTTAGACGAAAAATGAGATGCTAAAAGTACGAACAGAATGTGCACCATATGCTGTCTGATGTTAGTTTCAATTTTGTTCCATTATATAGTTTTTACGCATGTACTTTGGTGCCAATAATTTTGCGGTGCATGTAATTGGTACCTACGAGCTGTGGTAGGTACTGGTGCCTGCTCATGCTACATCCGCCGTACCTATACAATACCTAATAGTCTAGGGGGATGCTAATGGCATGCTGCCTCTTCTCATTGTTTTATGGCAGTCATATTTGTTTTTGAGTGGGTTGATGTTTGGACTGCTTGTAACACATGCTCGGGAGTTTAAAAAACTATTAGCTTGCATGTTTGAATGGATTTGAATTTGAGCTCACATGTTTGAATTACAGGTAATAGGAAAATGTATATGCCAAAGGCTAACCTGCCTCTGAAAGCTGGCCATGGCCTATCTCAATCTGACTCAAGAGTTCAAGAATCGATGCCATTAGTTCTTCAATTGACCTTAAATAAAAAAAAATATAATGTTTGTACATTGTGCAGTGCATGCCTTGGCTCTTGCAGTCTGAGGCATGGGTGCATGTTCTTTCCCTGTTTGCACTGGTCTCCAGTTTCAGAAACCTTTCTCAAGCATTCACCTTGTCATGTCCATGGACCAGCTTATAGAGCCCAATCAAGCCTCCCCTGATCCTCTGATCTGCCAGTGTTGTCAGTTTATCCCGCACCATCCTGGTGGTCTGGGTTTTTCCTGCAGTGCTTGGGAGGGGTGTTTTCACACCCCTATCTAACTCTGCTCCTATGTTTCATAGCAACATGCAGTAAGTAGCACTTGAAACAGCATAAAAAATAATGTGGACAGTACTTTTGCCATTTTATAGGTTAGGTCAAAGGTCAGCTCTCCTAGCAAAGTGTGCCGTACCTCTCTACCCCTCTCGCAGAGCCCCTGTGACAGAAACTACCTAGCTCTGTCCCCTGTTCCCTTTCACAGACTGAGCGGCCGCCATGTCCAGCCCGGCCGGTGACGAGGGCCGCCAGCTGTTTGAGCGCGCCGCCGAGTTGGCGTCACGCGCCGTGGCCTTTGACCGGTCGGGTCACCAGGAGGCAGCTGTCTACCACTACGTGCAGGCGGCCGGAGCGCTGCTCGAGGCGCGCAAAACGGGCGCCACCATCGCCCACCTGGAAAAGCGCGCCAACGACTACCTGTCGCGTGCCGAACAGCTCTCCGAGAAGGGTGAGTCCGCCGCGCAGCGCGCTAGTCCGCTGGCCAGCACTATTAACTCATTTTAACATAGATCGTACAGTTGCCGAAACCCGGGAATAACCAACGCTCACAACTTGATCGCAAGAGATAGGTAGTTCTTCAGAAGATTTGATTTGATGATCAAAGTTCCCAATCGCCCATTGCCCTCAGATTCCTCACCCTCTGACTCTCTCCTGTGACAGCGGCGAAGGCGGTGCCGGTGCACGCGCCGGCGGCCGACGGGCGGGCCGAGATGGAGCGCGTCTTCTTCCTGATGTCGCAGGCACTGGACGAGGACGAGGCGGGCAACGCCAGGGAGGCGCTACAACTCTACGGACAGGCCGTGGAGCTCTGCCTCGAGGCGGTGAGGGTAGAGGAGAAATGAGGATAAATTGCGGGCGAAGGGCTATGAAATGGAAGCTACGGAAAGCTATGAAAGCTGCGGAAAGGCCGTGGAACTTTGCCTCGATCCAGGAAGACTGCGGTGGGGGACAGCGATGGGGGTGATGATTTAAGGATGTGAATGGCGATTAAGCAATGAAAAGGTGAACTATTGCCTTGGTATTGAAATGTAGCAAAAACCTCACTAAATACGACCGACAAATAAACATTGGAATATCTCAGCAACCACCACTCAGTAACACTCTAACCAACATTGCCCTCTGCCCTGTCGTTCCACCCACAGAACAAGAAGTTCCCGAGTCCGCGGTTCACGGAGGCTGCTGAGCAGGCGCTTGGTCGGGCCGAGCGGCTCAAGGCCAGCCTGGGCGCCTCGCTGGAGTCGCTGCCGCCGCCGCTGCCGGAGCTGGACGACCTGCCGGAGCTGGAGCTGGAGGAACCGTCAGCACCGCCCGCCGAGACGCCGCCGCCGCCGGCCGGCCGCGCCAGCGGCGGCGGTGGAACCGCCCGGCCGCCGGCCAGGTCACCGAGGAACGGTGCGTACGAACGGGATAGAAGGATGGAGAGGGAAGTCTGGGAAGGGAAGTAAGGGGAGGCGGGATTGAGTCTGGAGACGGCAGGGTAGCGTTGGACTGGAGAGGAGAGGCCGAAAGGAGACTGTCAAACGCCCGCCTCCTCTATGGGAACGTGTTACAGTGGCAATACACTTTTTCGTATATCTTTACGACGGTTGTGTCCGGAATATTATTTAGTTTGCTTTCGGCTCAGCCTTTTAAATTTCACCTAGTAGTCGGCTGTCAGTTTTCTTCAATCTCAATTCGCCCTCCATATTCCTTCCTCTCCGCAGACAAGGCGCCGCTGCACCGCGGGTTCAGCTCGGGTCTGCTGGTGTCCGGCTCGGACGCCTACTCCAAGGACGAGCTGCGCGTGCTGGCTGCCACGTCCCGCATCAACGACAACGTCTACGTGCCGTTCATGGCTGCCGACCTGCGCGAGCGGTTCGCCTCGCCGCTGCCGTTCACCGACCGGGCGGGGCCGCTGGCGCTGTCACCCAAACAGCGGCGCGACTTCAGCCGCTGGGCCCGGCCCGAGGAGCTCTCCGACCAGCCGTGCATGATTCAGGTACGGGGTACATGAATCGTATAGTACTTTACTACAGGGCGTACAGAGTTCTCCGACCAGCCGTGCATGATTTAGGTACGGGGCACATGTATCATAGTACTGTTCTAGAAGGTGTGGTACAGAGCTCCCCCACCAGCCGTGGTTGATTCAGGTACGTGGCCGAGGCCACCCGTATTATTCTGATTGCGACACTCATTCTCTTTTTGAGCACGTCACAATAACGCTGAGTAGTAACAGACATAAAATAATTTATTTCGCCGATAAACAGCTACTCCATTTTACACGATCAAATTATGCTCCTTAATTTTTAGTGAATTTCTAGTGGCCACGCATCCAGTTCAGCCTCCTTCAGCACATTAGCGCCATTTACACCGTAACCTCTGTCTTCCCTCTGTGTTCTGACGCCCCATCTACACCGTAACCTCCGTCTTCCCTCCGTGTTCTGACGCCCCTCTGCGGTCGATCCGGCAGAAAATCGACTGTTTCTCCATCAAGCAGACGTGCATCTCGGACTGTTCGTTCGTGGCGTCTCTGGCCGTGAGCGCACTCTACGAGAAGCGCTTCAACAAGCCGCTCATCACCAGTATCATTTATCCGAGAAACAGGAACAACCAGCCGGTGAGCGGAGCGGCGACGGAATGAAAACGGCAGCGATGGGAATGTGTGGATATTTTCGGTGATTAGTGAAAGCTGGGGTCAGCTTGGTGTGTAGGGATCGGTATCCTCTCATGTTTAATTTACTTGGCTCTGCAGAAATTTGGTGGATTTGGCGGCTTTATGTTTAGATACTGATTTTATCGTTCAGCCGGTCACCTCTTCATTTTTAACTGTGGCCTGACAATCATCCCATTGATGAGTCATCACTTCCTCTTTATTTAAAGGTACTGACCTTTAAACCAACTTCCTTGTGTTTCCCTCGTCCCGTGTCGGCATCTTCTACCACGCTACGAATCTCCGCGGCATCAGGCCATAAGGGTACCTCACCTCTCCCCATGATAGTGCCGAACCC